AACAAAGTTAAATAAAATGTAGCAGTTACAAATGTATCACAATTGCTCTCTCGTTGCAAAGAACGTGTTCCGTTCGCGCTGGTAATTCGGACAAGTGTGTCGTATCAATCCGTGTAAGAAAAAGCAAAAGAAAAGGCATACAATATAAAAAAAAGGAAAATCCAAATCTGTTATGCAGATGTTTTTTTATTGCTTTATGGCGCTTGGATTCAACGTTCGGGCGTTGCATTTTCGGAATTTTCCGTTTTGCATCATGCACGCCACACGTTAATCAAGCGACCATATACAATCATGAGTAAATTAATTAATGTTGATAATGATCAGATTTTTTTAAAAATTAAAAGAACAATTAAAACTACAGCAAAATTTATTATATTATAATAAAATAGAATTCCGTTCCGAAAATCGAGCAACGTTTAGAAAAGATACGTTAAACAGGCGAGCTTCAATTATGTACAATCATAAGTAAATTAATTAACGTTGCTAATAATTAGTATCTCTTAAAAATCGAAAGAATAGGATTAAAATTATAAAAAAGTTAGAATAGACCTCTATTCCAAATATTGATTTTTCGTATGTCGTATAAAGATATATCTAAAAATCGAGACGAATACTCTTTCGCATTTTTGGTGTTTTAATTAGAAATCTAGGTAAAATCCCGCACAATACAAAAAGTACTCTTTTATACTCTAAAAAACCAATATTGCAAAAAGTTGCGAATCAATATTTCTTATTTAATAGAAGTTCAAAGTTTTTAGCCCAAAAAAGATCGATATCGAGACAAGAATCGAGTCATCGTGCACTTTTTCTATATATAGAGCATCTGTTTCGATAAATGCAGTATTGCATTCTGTACATATTACAGAGTATATCATACTAATTTTGATCGGCACTTTGTACGCCGGAATATACAACCGCCGTATTTGTTACTTTTCTTGTGTTGGGGCAAAACCGAGTACTTACACATCTCATGTAATGAAAAGAGGAAGAAGTATTATCCTGACTTTGTGTCCCTACAAAAAGCAGTTGAAAACAAAAACTAAGGCTCAGAAAAAGAAACCACTCAAAGAAATAGCTTTTTGAGATCCCAAAAGTTAAAAAGTTAAATAAGAAAGTCCTGCAGCAATGTCGAACAAAAGGATATTTTTATTTGTGATTTTTGTTATAAAATACATCTTTATATTTTTGTGTTTTGATTAAAATAAATCTAGATTTTGTAATTACACGGTGTTTTGCATATTTTCAAATGGGTACCCGGTTTGACCGTACCGGGTCGACAAAATTTTTTTATTCAGATTTTTTATAAGAAAACAAATCCAAAAAGGTACCCGGTTTTACCCTACTTTCCCTTACCTATAAATTTTTATTTAGTTAACGCAACATTTTAATATCATTATTTTTGTAAGAAATAAAAAAAAACTATTTTATACAATTTCCTTTTGTTAAGAAGATTAGGAACAATATAAATTTGACAATCCAATCTCAATTAAGTCTATCATAATATGATTAATAATTAATTATCCTTTACATACGTTAGATCATACGTTAATTATATCGCGACAATTAATTTTGAAGCGCGTATTTCGTGTAATTAATTTTTTTAAATTAAATTAAATTTTGTTTTATTTATTTAAGTAAGAGAAATGTAGTGACAGAAGTCCGAAATAATAAGTTATCGTTTTGTTGGATCTCTTTTTATGAGCAATAATTATTTCTTTAATAATATTTATTTAAATATAATTTAAATTTAAATTAAATTTGAATTAAATATTATAAAGTTAAATATATTTCTTCCGGTACTTTATCGTTCGACTCTCTGAGGATCTAAATATGATTCACATTGGGAACACGCAGTTATTTTTTTTTAATATTTCTACTTTTGAAATCAATTCAATCGTACATCCAGATTTTGAATGAAAGAACAAAAAAGGTATAAAGAATTCTAAACAATTTTTAAAAATGTATATTATATTTAAACATTCAAGTAAGAAAAAACATAGGAATATAAAACAGAGTGCTAATATAATATAAAATACACATTATTGCCAAAACTATTGTAGCAATCTACCTATATATAGTAGATAATTATAGATAATTATAGTAATCAAATATAGATAATAATAGTAATCAGATCACATATAGATAATTATAGTAATCATATCACATATAGATAATTATAGTAATCAGATCCATTAGGTTTCGTTTCAGTTACTCGAAAGTACTAGTGTCAGCTATATTATTTACAGTTATAAAAGCAAGTGTTGTGTCTTTTAACCATCAAAATTTTTCGCGAAGTAAGAAAAAATGTCTTTCTTCTTTCTATCTATAAATTTAACATATTAAGATTAAACTTGAAAATGGCAGAATATTAGATATTTAAAATTATTTTTCCTATGTAGAACTTCGCATTTGATCATTTAGAAAATAACGTCATTAATTTAGTATTATCGGCTAGATAATATCTACTATACTCAGTAAGGTATCTTCTATGTTATTTCTTAGAGCAATAATATTTTCAAGACAAAGTTTGAAGTTTGGTCTATCATTCGCTGGATTCCAGCAACGCAGCATCAACTCGTACAAAGTCGATGGACAATTGAGAGGCATTGGCAATCTGCCTCCACCGCGTACATAATCTATCACTTCCAAATTAGTCTTGCCAGTGTAGGGATGCTCACCTAACGATGTAATTTCCCACATTAGAACCCCGAATGACCAAACGTCGCTGTGGGAAGTAAATATTCCGAGCACCAAAGATTCAGGTGCCATCCAGCAAATAGGAAACAGACCTTGTCCCATCTAAAACATGTGATTTTAGTAAATTTAATCTTCTAGTTCTCAAATTGTCCATTTTTAAAGTATTCGTGCTAAAACAAAAAACATTCACTTATCTACATGTATATTGCTCTATATAAATAGAAATAGTTTACTTTTCTTAAATTTTATTCAAAGTAAATATACTATATTATTACGCCATATACTACGACATATACTATATTATTACGACAAAAAAAAGAACATACAAACATTTCTAAGAAATTTCATTATTTTTAAATAATTGATTTACCTTGCGATAATAGTCATTTTTGGAAACATTTCTAGATAGTCCAAAATCGCCGATTTTAACGATACGGTTCTCGCGATCTCTCGCGGATACTAAGCAATTTCGACATGCGAGATCTCTATGAACGAAACGCAGATTTTCCAGGTAACAACATCCTCGCGCAACATCTTCGCACATGGCGAACAAATCTTGCAAACGCAAAGCGTGCGAATCTGATGGTTGTAATTTTCGACTATATCTCAAATAATGTAGCAGATCACCAATTTCCATTAATTCCAATACGATCAATGGAGAATCTTCGTCTAAACAAACGGCCAGCAATCTTAGCACATGTTTATGTCGAAAGTGATTCATAAGCCTGGCCTCTTCTAAAAATTCCCTTTTCTCTTGCGACGAAGCATTTTTTCGAAGCATTTTAATGGCAACGGGTGTCTCTATGTCCGGTTTTTCTAAATTCTTTACTGTTCCTCGAAATACCTGCGAAATATTTAAAATAAATTTAAACTTATACTTCATTAAGAAATATATAATTTAATGTCAAGTGACATTATATCTTTTATTTTGTATTAAATAATTTAACGAAAAATACATAATGGGGTGCATGTGTATGTTATCTTATAAAAATTTTGCGTTACTTATAATCTTTTAAAAAAAGTTATTCATGTAATTATTTTTATCGAAAAATGCGTATGTTTCAATTTCTATAAATCTAGAAATTAGCGTACATTGAAAAAATTAGCTTTTACCATTCCAAATGCGCCGCTGCCTAAAAGTTTTTCTAGTCTGATTTCCTCACGTTTGATTTTGGTCAGTACATATTCATTTTGCAACATAGGATTGTATAACGTATTGAATTGAACGTTACCGTTCGGTATCTCATGTAGAATCGCTAATTCGAGGTCGGTCATTGTCGGAGGCCAAACTTGCTCGTTACTTTTTTTGCGTTGTCGATCTGTTATAAAATTGCAATATACTTATCTAATAATATATTGCAAAAGTTACATCGCTTTTTCAACAAGTAAATTAACTTTTCTTAGAAAATCTCTATATATTACATTAGATATAATCTCTTGCTGCAATTAAAGATTTAAATGTATCAAATATACTTACAACAGTAAAAGTAGTAGACATAAATTATAATAACTGTAGCGATCGAGCTTAAGATTGGTAAAAAATATTGCAAAAATGATGTTCCAAGGGTGGATTCCAAGGGTGCACAACTAATATCACCTTTGTTACGCAAAAATATACTCTTAATATCTTCATTTTTTTTTTAAACTTTTTTCTACTTATAACTTTATTATTAAAAAATTACTTAGTTTAAATGTAAATATTTTTATATCTAAAATAAGTATACAATGTTATAATATCTTCACTTGCTTACTCATTGGCAGTGTTGAAAAAATAAATCTTCCATTAGACGGCCATATAAAATCTTTCTCGTACTTGGGGTATCTCAGTCTCAAACAAAACTCGTATAGAGTTCCCGGAGATAATTTTTTTATATAGTACATTACTTCCATCCTATTATTCAGCTTAAAGCTGTTTGCAATTTGCCACTCCTGTATGATCTCAATATTTTTGTATTCTAGTACGTAAGCAATCGTCAAATTAACAGGTGGAATCCACGAGATATTCATACTGGTTATGCTAGTCTCGCTTAAAATGATATCATTTGGTTCCGAATACATGTACAAGATTTTGCTCAAACTGTCATTATAATAATCACTGAAGTTGACTGGATATATGCGTACATATATCGTGTAATTCTGTCCTGGTGTTAACTCTTCGATTATTTTAAAAAATATGCCGTTTCTTATATGTTCGGCCTTTTCGATAATAAAGACTTTATTTTCAAACAGATTGGTATCACACACCAAGTGTACTTCGTAGATCACAGGCATGTTCAGCATCTTAGGCGGCATCCAATAAACTGCCGCTATAGTAGGTGTCAGAGCCTCAACTGTCACATTCTCCGGTGCGTCTAATTTTTTCGGTTTAGTTCTCATCATCACTTTCACTTCCGAGTCGAATGATGGCTCCATCAATAATTGATCAGAATAAAAATTGCTTGTTCGGACTAACAGTAATTTGTACTCTGTAAGCGTTAAATTCTGAATCTCGTAATATCGCTCGTACGTGCGCACGATGAAATTATCGAACTTGTTAAGCTCATCGTCTAAACGATAGCTTATGTTGATGGTATATAAAGTGGAAGGTAAGTTGTTTTTGCATCCACTCTTGTGGACCAGCTCCGGAAGATTTACGATGATGCTGTTTGTCGTTACCATCAATATTCCTACGTTGTAAACTTTTTTGTCAGGCGTTAGACATCTCGTCGAAGGATATGATTGCAAAGATTTACCGAAAGCATAGAATTTATTAATCCAGAAAGGCGCTCTTATCTTTTGGATGTATTTGAATGCGTCTACGCTCTCGAGAAGTGCATACTTTTTTTTCAAAACATATATATAATCATTGATACATTTAATATAAATGTTTGTCTTGTCAATCGCTAAAGATGTCAAGACGAATTTTTCGGAACGTAAAATCAAATTACACATAGAAACGTCAAAGTCTGTCACAAACAACGATTTATCCAACACCCAATATATTAGCGGTTTCTTAGTATTTATGTCGTCAATTTTCATAATAAAAATAGAATATGATGAAACTTCGGCTGTGAAGGGGCATATAGATACAATTTTCTGAAAAATTTGAACGTTTTTCCCATCAAGATCCGATTGCATCATCTGAGTTTCATAATTTTCAGTGTAATTTTTCCAATATAAAGTTCTAAAAAATAAATGCATTATTTTCTTATTATAGAACATTATTAAAACAATAGTAGAAAAAAAATGTTTATATGTATATAGTGAATACTAAACATTTTTATAATTAAATTTGTGTTAATTTATAATTTCTTTATAACTTTTACTCTTAATTACAAAGATAAATAAAATTATTGAAAAATTACAAATCAGTACAAATTTTTAATGAAAATATTATTCATTTATTTCAAATGGATGAAAGTTAACATACCCTGTAAACGGTAGTATAGTTAAATCTGAAATAAGTAGATTAGAATAAGGAAGAATTAATGAGCTTCCCAAAATCTTATCATATTTGACTATGCCATTTTCCCACATTGTTAAGTCGAGCTTCATGATGTAATAAAATTCATTTCCGTCAAATTCTGTCCAATACAGATTTCTTGCTACCCAATCGATGCAGAGATGCCTCGGAAGATATTTACTCTTAGCTATTTTTTTTTTAATATTGTTTTCATTCATCTCCAATATCATTAGCTCTTTCATATAGTTGCACCAATAAATTTTATGTTCCGCTATCGAATAAGTGGCATCCATTATGCCATGCATAACGATACTAACGTGGATTTTTGAATCTAGATCCCATATATCGATACCGTTTTGCGTTATTATCAATAACTGCGGTATTGGATTTTCGTGCGTAGTCGATACATTAATTAAATCTGTGTAAGGACTAGCACCAATTTTAGTATGCGCTCGTACTTGAAAGTAGTACGTCGTATTAGGTTTTAGATTGTGCACCGTGCACTCCAATACTGTAGCTGAGATATTTTTGTTGTCGCAGATTTGAATCTCTTTTCGATTCTCGATGAACCAACACTGCACTGTGTATCCTTGTATTACTTCGTCTGTAAATTCAGGTTGGTTCCATCTGTAACAAAAAATAATATTTTGGCCTTTTCATATTTAGTAAAATTATAACAGAATCAACGGTTTTATATGTATATGTCATTAAATTTAAAAAAAAATATTGTCTGAGAATTTAGATTTTTTACCTGAATGTCACATAAATGTCGTCTTCTTCATTTAGGAATCGATTATAAAACTCTACAAATGCTCTGGGACATGTTGGTTTGCTCAAAATGTTTTCTAGAAATTTTAAGGTTGCACATATTGGCATAATTATATACAAGAACATTAAGTTGAGTATGTCAGTAATTCAGAAAAAAAAAAACAATTTAAAGTAAAAATAAAAGCAAGAAAAAGAAACGTAAATTACAAAATATGGAGATTAGCACAGCAAGTGTTGATTTTTCAAATAATAAAATAATATAAAAAAGTTTGCGCGTTTTATAAGACTCAGAAAAGTAATTTTATTAATGAACAAAAACAAATACAAAGTTCTTAATAAAGCATTAAACATTTTTCGGAAATATCTTATTGATTGAGAAATCAGAAGTACAATATTTTTGATCGTTCTAAAAAAAACTATCAAAATTAATTAATATAATTAACTGCTTTATATTAAATCTTGATTAATTTTACATATAATATGTGGATTCTTCTTTTTGCGACAAAATGAAATTTATATTCTTCTCGCTGTTGAAAGATATTTTTTTTTTTTTTGGATTTTACTTTTACTTTTTTTTAATGTAAATTATATTTACAATTTATTTTTGTCGTAGACTTTTTTTTTAACGATTTATGCATTTTTTTGCTACTTACTTTTATTATGTTCTTGGATCACAGACATATTTGCAAATGGAATTTCATCAACTTTGTTTCTCATACTCATGCTATCAGGATGACTCCTGTCATATGTGAGATTTTGCAAAAAGGGACAATCGTTGTTCTCGAATTCTGGAATATCCTTGATAAAATATAACATACGAAAAGAATTAAGTAAGCACCGCTGGATATCTTCAATGATAAATAATATATGTACAAATAAATAAAACCGCCATGAAATTTCTTGTTTGTTTAATCATCAGCTTGATTTTTTTTTTATACCTCTCCTGATTGATGATGTGTTAAATACAGTGTACACATTTTTTTTAAATCTGTTTTTATTGTTTTTGAAGACATCTTTCTGCATATCAAACATGATCCTTTTATTAAAGAGAAAATGCTCTCGCACACAAATTGATACAGCTGCGTCAAATAAATGTCAATAAGACCGTTTAGATCAATAAGCATGTTATGTAAATCAATATGTAGTGGCTTAATGCTCAATCCTCGTTGATCCAAACGATCTGCTATGCATATGCAACTATGTCAATTTGTATGTATTGTGTGTGTGTTGATAGCCCAAAGTGGCGCAGAATAGATTATAAGGGTTAAAAAGAATCCATAACCGCTTCTCTTAGCAAATAATATATAAAAGTGTAGCTCTTTTTGATTGTTGAAACAATTTTGTTTAATGATTTTGTTCTTTTACGGTAAATTAGTTAACTTCTTCAAGTAAGTGACTTTACATTAACACGATCTTTCTTTTTAAAAATTTGTTATCATTAAAGTTTTAATAACGTTTGTACTTCAAGAATATGAATGCTATAAATATTGTCGTTTTATGGTTATAGAAATTATGTAAATTCTTGTATTCAAACTTTTGTCGAATTTCTTTTCGGTTATCGTTACATTTTTTAACGCAAACAAATTCTGGAGAATATAATGTTATAATTAACCTATATACATTACCTAGGTAAGATCATATGTATATAGCTATATGTATAACGAATATGTGTACAATTAAAATTATATATAAAGTCGAAGGCGTAGCAAGAAATTGGCTGGTTGCGTATATTGTTGATTTCTGCAACTATTAAATTTATTGTTGACTATTAGATTAATTGATACAATTCGAAATTCCATTTTACCGATACTCGACTTTATTTCGATATTTAGTATATCTGTTCTGTTATATATGTATATATGTAACTATCCTTGAGATAAAAAAATGATGCTGACTTTTTAAATTAATTTTGTTAAATAAAAACTAATTTAGTTATACTAATAAATGGTTATAAATATTTAAAAAAATAAAGAGGTCTTAGAAATTGAAGAAAAATCACACAAAAATCAGTTCAAGCGTCACCATAAGTATGTATTAATATAGCGGAGAAAAAACAGAAAATCTTATTGATGTTCCAAGAATACTTATTTTTAAAAATAGCAAAGAGAGAGAGATAATACAGTTAAGTTTTAATATATCTTAATTAAGTTTAAATTTGCACTGTGTAACATACATTTATAAACAAAATTTCCCAGATTTATACTATCCCTTTTTTTATAACATCACATATTCTTCTAATGTTTTATGTTATATAGTGTTATTTTATTATTATATGGTATATAGTTCATATATTTTATTATCATATACAGTTTTAGTTACCCAAATGAACTATTAGCTATAATAACATTTAATTTTACTCAACGAAGCAATCTCTTACCTGTATGTCTGAATCCACATACTTTGACAAGATATCCGTTCTCGCTAACGTTAACACTTTTAGTAAAACACATAATATCGTCTTTGACATAATAATTTGATTTTTTTGGTGAATGTTTGCTCTTAATCAGTTTCCGCACAATCCTTGGCGACTCAGCTGTGAATAGTGATTCTATCGATATTCTTGATAATGAAAATTGTTAATTGAATCGATGGTTTCTTATATATATCATTTTTTGAAATTTGTTTAGTATATCAATCATGACATCTCTTCTAGCGCTATTTTTCGAAATTTCTTTTTATAACCAATCACGATGCATTTTGCATATCATCAAATTATAAAACATTTGGTTAATAAATTGCTCACTTTTTTCATGAAAACTAATGACAACATTGAACGGATGCATTTGTTTGTATCAAATAATAATATAAATATTATCAGTTTTCCTTTGTAATTCCTCTTAATATAATTTAATAGAAAATCAGTCAAATGGAAAGAAACGTGCAATATATAATTATTGTTGAAGAAAATTATAGACGAACAGGAAATTACTGAATTATAAATCTTTAATTTTGTCACTATTCATGCGCCAAATTTTACCAGATTATATATATTTTCTATATCTCTTGTTTGATTAAATACTGCGTTCAATTAAAAACTGTGTGTGATAATTATTTCTTATATATATTATATATACTATCGTGCTCTTGAGGGCCCACTATTCGTGTACATCGTTCTTGACGGACTGAAACGTTTATATCATGCGGTTCTAATCGAGAGACACATGACGCGATTGCGTATTTGTATTTGATTGGTGGCCATCATAAATCATCAACCTGAATAATTGATTTAAATGAAGCACTTTTGCCGAACTACTATTTTTTATTTGCTGCACTCCACTTGCGATTCATTTTCTTCTGTGAAAACATTCGTCGCTATTTTAAAAAGAGCTAGACTTTTTAAGATTTGTTTAATTTCACATTATTAATATTATTAATAAGTAATTAACATTTATAAATAATATGTAATCACATATATCGCGACAATAAACTTCAAAGAGCATATCTTGTAACGACGGCATTTGCCGGGTGAGGAGGTTTGAGTACTTTACCTAAAAACTATGCCGGCGGTAAGTATGATCCAGTACTATGGTGATCCTACGATCACCATGCCGGACAGATCGAGAAAGAAAAGTCAGATTGAAGAGAGATACCGTAGTTACATTTATTATATCAGAATTTTTGAATAAGTTGGAAGCAAAAGAGACAATAATCGAGAGAATGAAGAAAAATAAGCTTCAGTGGTTTGAACATGATTTAAAACTGCCTGAGGACAAATAGCCGCAGAAAATATTCCGATGGACACCACAGGAAGAAGAAAGCGCAACAGACCTCTACAATCTTGAGACAACGGAATTTGATAAACCATAAAAATACAAGGACTCGAAGAAGAGAATGCCTTCCTTGGTGATAAGGACAGTATCCTTATCACCGAGCGATCATATAAATGTGAAAAAATTAATTAATGCTGTTAATGATTAAAACTCCTTTGATTTCGAAAAATATACGGTTAAAACTATAGAAAAATGAAGTATTTATAGAATAGATCTCCGCGTTTCTGAAATCACAATTTTTCGTATAAAGATATATTCAAGTTTCGAGAAAAATAATTTTTTTCGCAATTCTGGCTTCTTATTTAGTGTTCTGAGTAAGAGCCCACGGTATATAAGAGACCCTTAACATTTTTACGCTGAAACCAATATTGCGAAATATCGCGATTTTTCGTATGATATTTTGCGAAAAAAAACTAATACCTATCACGGTGCGATCATATAAAAAGAAAATGAAAAGGTTAACAATAATCAATAGAAGGATTTTCAATTTCAAATGGATGAAAATTAACATACCCCATGGCAGTATATTTATATTGATACGCAAATAATTATTTGTTTTCAATATTATATCATATTTGACTATGCCATTTTCCCACTTTGTTAAGTCGAGCTTTATGATGTCACCAGTAAGATCAGATTTGCTTACTAGTATCCAGTACAGATTTCTCGCTATCCAGTCGATGCAGAGATTGAGCGCAACACCTCGAAATTTAATTATTTCTCTAATTTCGTTTTCATTTATCTCCAATAACAGTATTTTTCCCAAAAGACTGCTCCAATAAATTTTATGTTCCGCTATCAAATAAGTGAAATCCATCACGGTATCATCATTAACGAGATTAATGTTGATTTTTGAATCCAGATCCTATATATCGATACCATTTTCCGTTTTCATCGATAATTGCGATATTGGATTTTTATGCATAGTCGATACATCAATTAAATCTGTGTAAGGGCCAGCATCAATTTTAGTATATGCTTGCACTTGAAAGTAGTGTTAGGTTTTAGATTGTACACCGTGCACTCCAATATTGTAGACGAGATATTTCTGTTGTCACATATGAATCTCTTTTTGGTTTTTGATGAACCAACATTGCACCGTGTATCCTTGTATTACTTCGTCTGTAAATTCAGATGGGCTCCATCTGTAAAAAAAAAAAATAAGATTTTAGCCTTTTATATTTAGTTAAATTATAACAGAATCAATGTTTTTATATGTATGTGTTGTTAAACTTAAAAGAATACAGATTGAAAATTTGCATATAATCGATATACCAATTACTTCCTTTAGCACTGACACAAAATGGCAAATTTTTCAAATTTTTTTTATTTATAACTTTTTAATAAACAATAACCGCCGATTAAATTATAAAGAAAAATTACTCAGGGTCATGTCCTTGACAGCATATGTCAAGGTCAAGGTCATCGGCGAGGTGTCCGTTAATGTAAATAATTACCTTCAAATCTTTTTAAACATTACAAATATGTTTAGATAACAAGTCTAAATCATTTCTTGATTAGTTCTTATGTGACAGTTCGCTGTTATTAAAAAATCTTTTGAAAAAATATATATATGGTTGCCGTTTTTATGCAATTACATTTTTCGAGAGCTTATATGATTTCTGAAAAAATTGACAAATTATATATCCTGTATAAAATAATAGCTGACGTTTTATACTTTATAAATGCAAAAATCATACTTTTAACAAATTTTTTAAGATAACTTTGCAACTATTTTTTTTTAGACCCTAAATTTGTATTACTATTTTTAATATTGACTTAATTAATATACTGCTTGTTACTTCTACTTTAAATAATATCTTGAATTAATGGTTTTATTCTTATAAAGAATTTATTATATTTTGCATTTTTATCTACCTTATAATATAAAAATATACATATATAGGGTGTCCCATAATAACCGTATCACCTCTCAGGTAAAGCAGGTGAAACTGAGAAGAAAAATCCTTTACCATTTTGCAATTTTCATAATAATTATTGAGAAATTAATTAAAAAAGATGGACCAATTCGCCCAAGTATAAGCGCGCAGCGAAAAAAAACAACTTAAAAATTTATGGTCGCTAAGATAAAGTTTTGGGAGAAGCTCTCTACAAATGACAACGGTTACGTACGAGAGGTACATAACGCTGGATTCTCGTGTCCTAACAATCACATATTAATGAGACCGTTTTTTCTCGCCGCGCGCTAATACTCGCGCCCATTGGCCGATCTTTTTTAATTGATTTCTCAATAACTATTGTGAAAATCGCAAAATGGTAATAGACTTTTCTCCTTGATTTCATCTGCTCTACCTGCACACGACAGCTGCAGGCTACGGTTATTATTGGACATCTTGTATATGTTGTTATAATATATATAACAACATGTGGATGTTAACATACATACTATTGCATCTATCCTTCTAATTCTAATATTCTTCTAATTAGTATGAAATATGATAAATATATATCGCATCAGTACATGCGTATGCGATTCTTATGTATCTGTTTAGCGATACTGCAATAATTGCACATACACATATTATATTTTCTGATATAATTTTAATTTTTAGTATTTGTTCAATGCTATTTTAAGATATTCAATGCATTCGAAAAACTTTTTTGGCGAAAATAAAGTCAAATGTGTAAAACGAAATTATATAAATTTAAACTTTCACTATTTTCGAATGCTTTTAATCAAATCACTTTCGATGCAACTTGTATAAAATATGTGCGATGAGTGCAAACCGGTTTTTCAATATTTATTCGCTTTCTAATTGGAAGATATCTATAAAATAAATTGAAAATTTTAATTATAAATATAATTTTAATTATAATAATAACTAATTTATTTTTAATATAATTTTAAATTTTGAGCATATATTTCTTTTTTAACCCAAAGATAAAATTGATAAACTTGTTGTCGAATGAATGGAATTTTTTGTCGCACTTGTCGATCATGTAAATTGTTTAATATGTAACTAAAAATCTATGTATAATTTTTAGTTTTACATATGGAAAATGATTGGTAATGAGATGCCGATTGTCGGTACATTAAATACAAATTTTAGCTAAATGTCTAATTTATCTTGTTGAATTGATCGAGCTATCATCTGTAGAAACATTGTAGAAACATTTAAACCGCCATCTATATACATGGTTGGTTACAGCTATAGTCGGATCACTTCTTCAACCTTGCTGATCGTCCCTGAGACGTCGTCTCTGATAGTCTCAATTCCTTGTTTGTGTAAATACTACGTTCTTTGCACGCTCCTTTCTATATCTAAAAAAAGATCGCCGAAACTAGAAACATATGTTAGTTCCTATAAATTCAGTGAGATAACTAAAAATTGATCGTAATTCTTAGTGATAATAATTTAATTGTTAGTGATAACAATGTTTCAAATAACCTGCTATAATTTATAAATCTTTCGACGATTTGCCGTAAAAAAGAATAAAAGAAAATATGAACAATAACTTTATTCTATAACATTTTTATTTAAGTATGCAGTTAATGCAGCATTTAATATTGATTATTATTTATAATTTATTAATCAGTAGATAAAATTATATACATATACATATATATATATATATACAGGGTGTCCCACCAAAAGTGGCCATCCCCTTTTATCTTTTAAACTAAAAGAGAGAGACATAACAAATATATATCAAATTAAATGATTCAAACTGAACTCTATTGTGAGCATAGTGATTGCTTCCAAAAGCTATCTATATTAACGAATGGAGAGATATGCATAATCTTTTTATAATAATGTGAATTTTTCAACCTTGAAATATCGTAGGCAACATCTAACTTTTCACTTTCTGTTCTGCGTTATGACTAATTTCTAAAGAATGTTTTGATGGTGCGCGTCGATACGTATCAATGCTTGTCTGTCAGTGTGAATCAATAAACAGCAAAAAACGGACGCAAAAGATAGACCAGGACAAATTAATTGAAAATGTGAAGTTTTATGAGCGTTTTATGAGTTTTATGTAAAGTTTTATAAAATAGTCTTTAATTTATTGTTTCTTGCATTCAACATGGCCGTGTTCCGTGATAAAAAATTCTGTCAAATCAGTGTCAGAGCTATGATTATGCGCATGGTCTGTATTAATACTATAGTCTCGGAGATATATATGCAAAATGTACGTAGTCAAAATGATTTTATTTACATTTTCTGGTTTTAACTTCAATTTACCTTCGATTGTAAAGCGAAATTTTTGGCTCATTATTTTGAACACATTTTCCGAAACTCTTCGCGTGCGTGAGATGGTAGTTGAAAAATCTTTTTAATCCTTTTTAAACATTTTTTATCTATCTTTAATGATCCATCCATTTTGACTTTAAACGTCAACCGTCGATTGACGGACGATTGCCGAAGCAATCTGAACATACACATTACGGTCCGTGCCATATAGTCTGAATCAACCTTGATTCGTGATTGACATATGTCATGTTTACATTTAATCATAATACTCAATCCGAAGTTGGCCATATCGCAGGATCAAAAATGAAAAGGTAGGCGTCGCCCGCAATACTTCAAGTTGATAAAACTCATATAATATGTGAAACATTTACATTATATCATACATCGTTGTATTCGTTCCAAACAGCGCTACAACTTTTTTCATGTCAAAAAATTCACATTATTATAAAAAAATTATGTATACCTCTCCGTTCGTTAACACAGATAGCTTTTGGAAGTAACCACTATATACTCACAATAGAGTTCAGTTTGAACTATTTAATTTGATATATATTTGTTACGGTCCATTTCTTTTAGTTTAAAAGATAAAAAGGGGTAGCCACTTTTAGAGCCACACACCTGTATACAGGGTGTCCGGAGTCAATCGCATCACCCGTCGTGTGCAGACAGAGCGGGTTAAAACTGAGTAGGAAAGTTCTTTACCATTTTGCGATTTTCGTAATAATTATTGAGAAATTAATTAAAGAAAATTTTATACTAATTGATTTGTCTCATTATTCTGTACATAAAAGTATTACGGTAAGATTATCGAAAACTAAATATTTTACTAAATATTTTACTTCAAAATATGTCAGATTAAAATATAAAATAACTCGAAAAATACTTAATGAAAAAATACTTTATTATAGCGTTTTGAAAAGCTCTCGAAATAAGCTACAAGAATGCGCAATAAAAAATGGGGGGGGGATTCCATTTAAGAAAACATCGATCACATTGACTTCATTTTGAAAACTCAAAGTCAAGTCCATATTTTCATCATGTGGTCCCCTCGAAGCCATAAAACTCGTGTCTAAAACATTTTTTTGAAAAATATCTCCTTTTTGAGATATTCACGTGGATTTATTAAAATGGTCCACTCTGTATATACATATGTATACATATATAATGGAAAGAGTTTTGCATTTTGGTGGTGTTGTGCGCTTTTGCTCGTCGCTTCGTCTTCGAAGTATCAGCGAAATTCTACGAATGACAACAATAAAGATAACAATTCGACTATGCGATTCGACGAGATTGATGCAAACGCTATAAAAAACTATGACGACGAGATGAAAACAGTGCGAGACGATTTGCACAAAAATTTTATCAAAGATGTCCAATATAATGATATACAGTATGAGTACCATATTAAAAATAACAATCAGAGAGATAATGACTCTGTGCAATATAAACACGTAACGGATTCCATAAAAAATCATGTGAATGATAATCAAATGTTAGTAGAGCTTCGCACAAACTCAACAAATGTCAACCGCAAGAAAGACTCTATGTCACAGGAAATCTATAGAAACTTGACAATGGAAAGGCAAAATGATTCCATATTATATGGATTCCACAAATTTTCCGATGGAGATAAATATAACATTGTTCCATATAAGATATGTGACAATATTACTTGCATTCGGCTCTGTTGTCCTCTCGGCGATCGCCTGATTGATGATAAATGCATTAGTGGAGAAAATAAATACTATTTCCCGAACGTGTACATACACATGAACGATTCATGGCAGAGCGGAAATAAAAAATTGGACGAACTTTTTCAGCTGATCGTTCACGATCCGTGCGAGGAGACTAAACGCTTTCTGTTTGATTCGGATAACAATAGCACCAGATATATATTTTTTGCTAACGGTTCTTTATATCTTCCTTATTACGATACATTCGTCGAATCAACATCCTATTGCCTGGCCGTTGTGAATCGGGATAAGTTTGTTATGACTATCTGCTTGGAGACTTACAACAAACTCATCAATAAGAAAATAAATGAATCTATGAACAATATTATAGATGACGATATTCTAGATGATGTCATATTTATTTGTTTGCGTATAATATCTATGTTATTTTTGCTGACGACATTTCTAGTGTACTCCATACTGCCAGAAGTTCGTAACATACATGCTTTTATGCTGCGCAGATACAGCGGTTTAATGTTTGTTACATACATGATCGACATTACGGATAATAATAGTTTAATCAACACGATGGCTCTGGGATATCCCATCTGTATTACAATCGGTATGATCTACTAATCATGTAACAATAAAATCAATGCACCACATCTGTTAGGCTTATTAATGTATACTCTCGTGTTAATTATTTTTCAATGATAAAACTTGAATGTATAATTTCTGAAAAATTTTAAAAATACAAAAAATACAAACAAATAAGAATTAATAATAGTAATATAACATTAAAATTTTTAATACATTTTATTTAACATACAATTTAAGTTAGAACTTTTAAATATTATTGTCTAAAATTTGAATTTAAGTAATGTCCTTTTTGTGCCATTTTACACAATTATATCTAATAAATCGAAATATTTTTTAATTGATATCAACAAATACGTATTGATTATATTGTTTTCTGTTGTAAATTCTTAGACAGTTAAAGTAAATCTTGTTTTTCATGATCATTATCATAGACATAGTAATGTCTGTCAATCATTAGCATTTTAAAATGCACTTACTAGTTGATTCGTTTATTCCATTGTTTCAGCCCTTATCAAATATTTCTGCTATTTGGCGAGTTTCTTCTGGTTAAATGTCATGAGTTTTGATATGTGGTGGACATTCAGGTAAGTTGTTAAATATGAATTACATGCTATACTTAATCTATAATGTAAATTAATTTTTATATAAGATTATGAATTATATTATGCAACATGACATGATAATATTCGTCTACGATAAATGTATGAGTATAGGCATGAGATTACAACAATATATAAAAACAAAAACAACATAATATTTTGACTTGATCGGAAAGAATATTTTGTCATATCGTACCGTGTTTGCCTGATAGTATAAAAAATTACTTAACTTAAAGCACACAATAATTTTATAGAAAAGACGGGTTCTGCATTTCTATAATGTGAAACAAATATGGTTTTTCTGTTAAAAATTTCTATTTGACCATCTTTATTCAAAACAGAACATTGATTCTTGTCTATGAAATTGTATCCAATTTTTGAAAACATAATAATATATTTCTGAATTGACATTCTGAATTATTGATAAAATTTCGTTAGATTACGGTATAATAAATTTAAAAAAATTTTTTTTTCTTTATCTCACGAATTTAAAACCATCTTTTTATTAAAAAAATAAAAAGATTAAACCAATGCTGGTTTTAAATTCGTGAGATAAAGAAAATATATATTATATAGAGTGTTTCATTTTAATTTCCCCAGGCAAATATTTCGAAAAATATGGAAGATATGAGAAAACGTTTTGTACAAAGTTTTATGGCTTCGAGAGGGACATAAGATTGTACCATTTGGTTTGATCTTGGATAGATGTTTGAAGATCACATAAAGGTCACCTTCAATTTCTTAAATGGAAATCCCCATTTTTTATTGCATATCCTTGTAGCTTATTTCAAGAGCTTTTCAAAAAATTATAATAAAGTATTTTTCCATTAAGTATTTTTCTCATTCTGTACATAAAAATATTATGATAATAAGATTATCGAAAACTATATATTTTACGAGATGTTTTATTTTTTATATCATTATTTTATTTTTTATATCAATATTTCAGATTAAGAGATAAAATAACTCGAAAAATACTTAATAAAAAAATACTTTATTATAGTATTTTGAAAAGCTCTCGAGATAAGCTAGAAGAATTGGGTTTCCATTTAAGAAATTGATGATGACTTTCATGAGATCTTCAAACGACTATCCAAAGTCAAACCAAATGATACCGTATTATGTCCCCCTTGAAGCCATAAAACTGTTGTACAAAACATTTTTTCGTATCTTCCATATTTTTTGAAATATTTGCCTAGGGAAATTAAAACGAAATACCCTGTATATGTATCTAACAATATATGACACACAAGTTTTTTAACAAAAGCTGATTTTCAATTTTTTGAAAGTTTATCTGTTAAATCTAATATCAAAATTGTCATTTTTATTTCTGTAATGATTACAAGGCAAACTTTCAAGAATCTCGACTAAAACAGATTTTTGTTGTTAATTGTTTTAATGTGCATTTGCATTTGCATTTTTTTTCTATTTATTATAGCTGAATATGATCAGTAAATTGTCTTTTATAGAGGATTCCGTTCATTACAAAGCAATATAAATCAACAAGAGAGAAAAAAGTTGATCATGTATTCAGCCTACGCGTGGGGAGGCCCCTTAATTCTCACTATTATCTGTATTATCATGGAATTCGTTCCCAGCGTACCAAAAAATCTTCGACCGCAAATTGGTCTCGTTAGATGTTGGTTTTATGGTAAGTGGATATTGCTAAATAACTCTATTAACGCAACATATATAATTATGATTAAACTAATACAAGTTTAGTTACTAAAAGTTTATGTTATATATATATATATTTTTTTCTGTGCATATATGCATGCATATATAGTATCCCAAAAACATACGACCAACCGTTAACACTATATTTTAGAAATGAAACCAAAAAAAAAATTTGAATAAGCATGGGTCCGAAAGATATCCATTAACGAATTACATCAGTTTCAAAGTAATTAAGATTATTTTCTAAAATATGTAAAGAGAGAAAAATAAAAATTAATAATCAGTATTAGTTTTCTTGCAACGTATGGAGCGGAATAGTTAATGATTGTTTACCTGGTCTATATTTTTTACCATCTACTTTAAATAGTGCAAATTATACAAACTTCTTGAATGATAACTTATCGAAAGTGTCAGAAATTGTTCTATTACAAATAAGGCAACAAATGTAATTCATGCACGATGATGCACCAGCTCATTTTTCTTTAACTACTCGCCATTTCTTAAACATCTCGCATCCTGCTCGTTTCTGTATCCGGAATGCTGGTAGAGGCGGTCCATTTTCTTGGGCCAATTTCTTGATCCCTTTGTTTACCAGATATCAATCCCATTGATTTTTAATTATGGGACTATTTTAAAACATTATGCTGCAGAACCTATTCAAAATATTGATGAATTTTGGGAGCGCATTATAAATTTGTTTAATATCATACGAAATTCTCCCATTATTTTCGCCCGAGTTTGACAGACCGTGAGAAAGCATGTTGAAGTATATATATATATATACATTATTGCTGAAGCATATATATTATTGTTGGAGATAGTTACTTTAAACAGTTCTTATAACTTTATATGAATTTGATGCTAATTTATTTGCGGTTATGTTGGGTTAATGTTCACAAGTTTAAATTAGCGTTTAATGACTTAACTCATTAATGGTCGATTTTTGGATCTGTGTTTATTAAATCTTTTTTTTTTATTTTCATCTCTCTAGACTCTAGAATATAGTGTTAATGCTTGGTCATATGTTTGTGGAACATCCTGTATACAGGGTGTCCCATTTCTAATGCCGCAGGCAAATATTTCGAAAAATATGGAAGATACGGAAAAAATGTTTCTGACAAAAGTTGGATGGTTTGAAGGGGGCCACATGACGAAAATATGGACTTGACCTTGACCTTTTCAAAGCCTGGTCAATGTGATCGATGTTTTCTTAAATGGAACCCCCCATTTTCATTGCACATTTTTATAGCTTATCTCGAAAGCTTTCCAAAACACTAAAATAAAATATTTTTTCATTAAATATTTTTTGAATTATTTTATATCTTAATCATAGGCGATTCACGATACACGATCGATACACATACGGCATACGGCACTGAAGTAGCGCACTCGAGTCTCTGACCTAATCCCCACCTAATCTGTCCAAAGCTGCGCGAAGCGTGGTCGTGAACTCTCTTTCTGTGAACGCAGTATACATATATATGTATATATTTACAAAGTACGATATGTAAATATGTGAAAAATTAATTTCTTATTTTAGATGATGTGCCGCTTGCGTTATACCTTTACCTACCTGCGATTATCTGTTCTACTGGTAGTATTTGTTTATCCATCTCTACGGCATTGAGAATCGCGAGCTACGAAAGGGACGCAGCTCGTCATCTGAGAAATTCAGAGAATCGATGTTATAATAACAATAAGAAATGGTTTGTACAAAATCAAATGTCTTCACATCGATATATTATAGTCTATCTTTTATTAATATATGCCGCTATATCCGTTTGTTAATGTCATCGCAAAATTCTTTTTTTTTTGCATTTCCATAAGAAAGAGGAATAATTATTTTTATATTTTTTCTCTTGTATTTTCATAATTACGAAATCTCTTATACAAACAAACATATTGCCGCGATCGAGTCTTGCACGCGTTTTCTCAGGAGCTTTGTGATTTTCGGAAAGATTATAAACAACAAGAACAAGTGAAAATAATGCTTTCATTCTATAAAAACACATATACATGCAACAATCATATTTCTTAAAAATTTTTTCAAAAAGATATTATAGCTCTCTTTCTTTTTCTTGAAATTTATTTCATTAATTTAAGTTTAACTTAACAATATTATTATTATTATTGAAATATAAAAATATGAAATAATTACAATTTTTTGAAAACATTTATCTTTATAAAACTCATGTTTTATGAAGATAAATGTTTTAAGAGTTACTTTGAAGCTTTGTGACTTGCTTTAAATGTTTTCATTCATAATTTTCACACATATATTCGATTGTTATAGTTTTAAAAAATATAAAAGAAATGTATATATACTGTATACAAGATGTCTCCGACAAGTAAGTGATCAACTGAAAGATGGAGGTAGGTTGGATCAAACTAAAAAGAAAACCATTTTTTTCTATAACGCTTAATAAAGGAGTTATTATTGAGTAAAGTCTAGCCGGACGTGACGTGAGCGGTCCGCCGCTACTACCAGGCGCGCGGATCATCGACGTGCGTCTGGTTAAAGGTCAACGCTGATTGGCCAGACTTTACTCAATAATAATTTCTTTATCAAGCGTCATTAAAAAAAAATGGTACAGGACTTTTCATTTCAGTTTGATCCAATCTATCTCCACCTTTTGATTTGTCACTTACTTGCCGGACACCCTGTATATGTATATTTATTTGTTTATTTATTTATTTGCAGGTTCAATATGTATTTGAAACTATTTATTATGCTGTTTATAATAATAGCCATAGATTGGATCATATCAACAGCGTGGGATTTTTGGTTGTACGATATTTTGCCGGTAAATGCCTTGCTTACTATCTACTTGATAGAAACCATGCAGGATATCGGTTTCTTCATCATATTCGTGTGCAGGAAGACTATCAAGCGACTGCTATTAAAGCGATTCAGTTGCCAAACATGCAATCTGTTTCGAGAAACTGAATCCGTAATGAATGCATCTTCGAACACCGACACTACCACGTCAGGAGAAATGCTCATGCAGAAAATAAATTCTTGCGGGCAAACCATCGAGTAGAAAATAACAGGAGAGAGCATTTGGTGTTAAGCGGACGGAAGTGACTATATATAAGTGAACGCTCAAGATGGCCACTCAGGGACGAATTGCAGCATGACGGAGATACTGAAAGTACCTCAAAGGCCTAATAATGCACCATGATGCTTTGATGATCTTATAATTAACACTTATTAATAATATTTTTTTTAGTCTAATATTGGCTCTTTCTTTCACTTATTTAGAATTATATAATCGCTTCCCATCTAAAAACTATTATAATCTCGCTATTTTTAGGATTATTAGGATTTTCATCATGAAATGTTCTAAGGAATCTGCCATTAAGAGGAAATACGGTAGTTTTAGGATATCCTGTATAATGTGAATTCAAGCTTTCGATTGCGACCAGTTTGTTGAATAAAATTAATGCAGTCAATCCTGAGAAATGATAATTGTATACCAGAATTGTGACATTTTTGGTTTTCAGATGTACGTATGCTCGCATGCACACACGCAAAACGATTTTATACCTCAAGCGGTGTTCACATCGCTCATGTACGATTATTCGCTTGATGTGCAAAACGCTTTAAGGGACAAAATCATATATGAATGTATGTACATACGTGTGAGATAATAACGTTTATATTTTATAGTAAACTGACACATATGCATTCGGTTGTATCAAAGAATAATATAAATATTCCTCATCAATCTCCTTATGTAGTTCCTTTTAATATAATCTAGTAGAAAAGCAATCAAATGAAAAGAAAAGTGCAATAT